CTATTACCGGCCACAAAGAATACTGCCTACCAGACATACCAAATGGACTAAACCCGTTAGTGCGTAGACCAAGATAAACATTCCTACTCTCTCTTGCAAAGTCTGAATGTACCGTGTTAAAATGTTGTCAAGCTTTCGCATCTGATGGATGTGTGACCTCACCTTCTATACGTGAATGATCAGCATGCCATCTCATTAATGCAGATGTCCTTTCTAAATGATATAGTCGTTTAAGCCTATCCGTTATTGGAAGATACCACATACATTGGTACGGGATCTTCGTTCGTCCTGTACTTGGTCTGTATCTTGGCTTTCCACAAAATCGACATTACTACAATTGATCATCTTCTTTCCAGAATATCATGCCATTATCAATACAAATATCTATCATCTCTGAAGGCAACCCAAGACTCTATACCAACTTTTGTATCTCATAATATGACTCAGGAGCTAAATTATCCTTTGGCAATATCTCGTTAATTAATTCAGCCCAGGAATCCATGCAAACCTCAGATAAGTTGTTATTTGTTTTAATGTTCATCATTCTAGATGCAAGTGATAATCTAGACATTTCTTCTCTACATCCATCGTAGGTTGGTTGATTTGTAGCATCTAACATATCATAAAATTGTCTAGCATCTAAACTAGGCTCCTCAGGGTTATCGGAGAATGTTGTCGTTTAATGAAATGCATCATGGACCATATCATGAAAACTATTATGATTTGGTTGACTATAATCAAACTGCTAATGCTCAAAATTAATATGAGGTTCCTCTTCATGTTGGAAACTAGTATTACTAGACGATGCATTCACCATATTTTCTTCACTAAGCCAAAACCAAACATAATAATTTGGCATGAACCCTCTATTATATAAATGCTTTCCGAAGGTTTTGACAGAAAAAATATCGACCATTTTTGCACTTTCGACATGGACAAGATACCAGTTTCTTGCTTTAGTTGCATTTGATTTATGGTTATCATGAATTCTTCTAGCCCATCTACAAACTCATGTGTCATCGATCCATCAGAATCTTTGTGCTAATACATCCACTCCCGCCGAATATAAATCTCGTGAGACGACATATTATATTTAACTCCAAGATTAAAAAATACAAAACTTTTGAAGAAAATATTTGAAGAAGACTGTTTAATTTTGAAGAGAGAATATGTTGTTCCTTATCCATTTACTCATCACAACGTCGGTTTATATACACATACAAATCTGTTTGCAAGGTTTTTGCGTGGTATTTTAGCGATGAAATTGCGAGGAAGGCAAACTAGGTGGCACATTATTAAAACGTTTCTCACCTACCACTATAAATTCGCCTCAAATGCGTCGCAACTTTGCATCGAACCCATCCATGCAAATTCAACGCTCATTTGCATAGCTTTTGGGATGAATTCACGAGTTCCACTCTAATTCGTCCTAGTTACACGCAGTTAGACATCAAAGTTACGACGATTAATTTCCACGCAAAATAGCGACAAAATAGCATCGACTGTTAGTTCGACGCTATTTCCACGCTCATTATGCGCTATATAGCGACACATATTGTTCCTCCCAATATTTCCACACAAATCACATGTTTTCTTGTAGTGTTTCTTTTTATTCTTCCGAACTAAACCGGCTATAAGTCCGCTTCTTAAATCACTCCTCGAGGAAGTCCGAAGAAAGGCATCGCAAGGAGGCAAAGCTCGAGGAGGGTCTTCCCAAGATGGTGGAGGTCGAGGGGAACCATGGCAAGGAGTTGGCCTCGTAGCAAACATTTAACAAGAACTATCGAGGCTACCGTCGTCAACCAGCAGGGTCTTGCAGTAATCCTTTTCATCTACGAGACTTTCCAAGTTGTGCATCTTTTCCCTATAGAGGGTAGATATCGGGTCAGATTTCACTTTGTCTCTTACTTTCCTCGCCCGAGAAGAGAGGCCTTTGACTAATGCAGGAGGAGGTAGGGAATGAAGCTTCCCAAGGGGCCTCATTCTGGCAAGGCGACTGGCTTCGTGGATACGGTCGATGGTGAACGAGTTCCAGAAGGTCTCACCTTCGATGACAATCTTGAAAAATTTAGCAAATTCCTTAGTCATAGGGGGATGAGCCTGAATTGCTGCAAAAAAAGGGAAAGAGTTTCTAAGTTAAGGATCGAACTCAAGGTAAGAACAAGCAACTGCGATAAACCCTAATCTACCAATTTTCAATGACCACTTGGTCAGAAGAGTGTTCGATGAACCGTTGATTGTGGTTGGGGTCATCTTCACTAGAAACCAGTGAGGAAGCCAGTTGTCATCTTGGTTTGGTAGGTAAGAAATCAGCATTCTCTCCCGGTTGGGATAACCAGCGAAAGTACTCAAAGTCTTCGGTGAAACTCGATCCAGGATGAGCTCCAAAGGTTTTGGTACACCAATAATGTAGCATGCCTCCATTGCCACGGTGAGGATCCCCATAATTATTCGGAGTAAATTGGGGGAGAGCTGAGGAAGGGCGATTTTTAGAGTTTTGAGGTACCAAACCATGACCTCCAGGAGCGGGAAGACAGGCCACATTCTATGAGATAAATCTTGTAGACATAGAAATATCCGGCTTGATGGATCTCTAGAGACTTAGGTTGAAGAGGAAAGGCAAAGTCTCGTGAACTTCATCCAGTACCAGGCATAACCTCCCCATGTTTGTGAGAGATTGGATGGTGGTACTCGTATTGTAGTGAAGATCGGCGACGTTTTCCAGGCGAGTACATAGTAAATCTTGAGGCGATGCAGGGTTCTCCTCGTCAGCAGGAGAGCTAGACCTTTCCACTGAAGATTTTGGTCTGGGAGAGTGGATTCTAACAAGCGAAGAGCTCATTTTCTTTTTGGTTAAAGAAATCAAAGTGAAAACTGACGAATAGAGTTAAAGGCAGCAAAGGGAGAGCGAGAGGAATCTTTTTGAAAAAAAATACAGAAGAAATGAAGTAAATTAGAAAAGAGGAAGAAGTTACCTTATTAACTTGTGGATGAGGATGGAAACCGCCTCGAAAATTGTGGGAAAAGTAGAAGAGTTTTTTCCCGCTTTAATAATAAATTAAAAGAATCAGATAAGTAAATGCGACAGATTTCAAGATAACTAATGTTTGCAAGTTCCAAAATTCAAGGGACGTGACATACAAAATCACAGAGTCAAAGATTGTATGGAGCAATCTTCACTATTAAGTAATTAAGTCCTCCGAACTAAAGCAACAGTTCAAAAGACTTGGGTGGCTAATTGTTGATGTCAGATCTCGAACTCCAAGTTCGGATCCATCCGAAGATTACCATGTGGATCCAAAGTCAATCAAGCGAGAATCAACAAGATGAGTGCCCGAACCGAAGTCTCCAAATATGGCTAAGCAAACCAAAGAGTCCGGAGGAAATGCCAAAGAGAAAGAAGTGCTCGGAATCAAGTAAATAGGCCGAGCACTCGAAGGCCCATGAAGGGGTCAAAACAATTCTAACAAAGACGTTATGACATTTATTGTAGAATCAAAACGAACATGTTTATGAGCAATTATTATATTAATTAACCAATCAATGTAAATCACTTTGTATAAATATAGGACCCCCATGGCCAAAACGGGGACATTGAATCCTTGCACCAAAGCTAATACTATACTATTTTTTCTATACACTTTTGTCTACATTTTCATACTATTTTCTATACGTATTTGTGTCATATATTTTGATCTTGAGATGTTTTAGCCCACAAATAAATAAATACTTGAGTGTGTAAATCAGACATAAACAACATATCTTTTAGGATATTAAAAAATCAAGAAATAGAAGATTTGGAGATATTGAAAATATGGAGACTATGCCAGCTACAAGATGTATGGATGCACCTATATATTTTGAATCTAGACTTTAGGTTTAGGTTAGCCGTTCACAGATAAATCACAAGATCAAAAGCAAAAAAGCTTGTTAGGGTTCTTGGTGAGTGAACAGAGAGTGAATCACAGTTATTTTTGTGTCAGCGAGTTGAATAGTTAGGAATTGGTCGGTGACCAGTCGTGTTGAATGCGTGTAAATCTTCTTAAACATATTTGTAAGGATTGTTTTAGTGGTTCCTAGTAAAGAACAGAGGTTCGTCTCAACTGTGTTTACATTCTAGATTAGTTTAGGGTGTGACCGGTATGGTTGTTAGTACTTTTTACAACTCTTATCTTTTCTAAGTCACAAATCATATATATATAAATAAGGTTTCACTCTCTCTTTATTGGTCCATTTGGTAATTTACATTTTCAAAAAAAATATAATAATATTTATCTCTAACTAAACCACAAATACAACACATTTATGCATATACAGTAATCTACCATTTAATACCAAATTGTAACCATCATACAAATTGTGTATTAATTATATATTTTTCCACTCAATGTCATTTAAACACACGATAAATTCAAATTGTAACTCCTATAATTTAATTATTATTAAAATGTAACTTCCATCACTTTCCATTCTATAAAGAATCATTCTCACATATTCTTCCACCATATCTCTAATCCTAAATACTTTCTTTGTTTTTATGTTGTTGCATGGGTTGAAAAATCAATTGAGGCATCATTGTACAAGTTTGATTCTAAATTTTGTTTTCAGCTTCAGGTGGGGAAGGAGCCAGGGTAGAAGACTGATCTGTCTCATGAACTGGAAAGGAATTTGGTGACAAGGATGGGGTCCGTGGCAACTCTGAAGTTGTAGGAGGAGAGGATCGTGAAGTCGAATGAGGAGAGGACCGTGAAGTCGTAGCAGCAGTAGACCGTCCTCCATTACTCCTATATTGTCTATAATGACCCCTTCCCTCCATCTACAATTAGAAAACACCAATAACTATCAAATAATATCTATTATACGTATCCAAAATCAATATTGCAAAAGGAACAATCGAGTAATAATGAAACAAGGCATTGAAACCAAAGTAATTAACCAAGAACGAAAGTGAAAGCAAATATATTGGAACATGCCATTGAAACAAAGCAATCAAATCTCTGATCAGCTCAAAGCCTTTACTTGTACCATGAGTGAATGAAACAACTCATAGAACAAAGCAATAAAATCACATAGGTAGTAAATTTTGTATATAAGATTCAGGAAATAGACATGAAAGAGATATGAAACAACAACACAAAGAAAAAGAAGGCTATACATAAAGCAGAGAACCATCGACTTACAATCTAAAACAGTAACAAAAGAAGAAGCATCATGTTACAACATTAACATAAGTCTGAATCAATCACGAAAAAAACATATTACAAACAAACGATTGACCACCAAAGAAGCATCAAAAGAACATAAATTTCCATCTCTAACTACATAACATCAGCGATTACAAACCCTAAGTACCGATTAGGCCAAATCGAGAATAAAATTTCAGTTTAAAAACCCTCAAAAACAATTCAATACACGATTGATAGAAGTAAATATAAAACAAAATCCATGTGAAGAAACAAGCTTTAGATTAGTCTTTTTACAAGGATCAGTAGGGAGTAATCGAGAAGTGGAGAATTGGGGACGAAGATAGTGAGGAGGAATTGAGAATTTGAGACCCAAAGAGAGAAGAAGATTCAAAAGAACAAAGAAATTAGAGAAGTAGATTCAAAAGAACAAAGAAATTGAGAAGAAGTTATCCCCAAAGAGAGATGATGAGGGCGTATGAGAATCGAAGAGACAAAGAAATAAGAGGAGGAAGTGGAGAAGTTTCTTGAACAAATTAATTTTTAGCCTCGCCGATTCCTCGCAAACGTGACGCCAATATTTCCCCAAAATTTTGGCCAACTATTTAGCGCGTGTTTTCCCGCAATTTTATTGCGACGCGCCGACGCTAATTCGTCGCACATAAAAAAACGACGAATTCCCAAAAAATCGTCGCAATATTCATCCCATTGTTTGAATTTTTAAAAAAAAAAAATTTTGAAAATTTGCGAGGAATTTACTGGGGTTCGAAGCTAAGTCGTTGCAATATCCTCGGAAACTATAATAAGATGTGGTTTAAATGGAGATTTACTTATTGATATTGATCAAACTAATATATTTATACTATAGTATATCTCATAATGAATGGTTTTAGTAAAAAAAAAAATCAAATAAAATTTATGTATTTGAGTTCTAAGTACTAGATAACATATATGTGAATAAGGAACATATTCTTATTCAAGATCATTTTTGAAAGAAAAAAAATTCAAACTTAATTATTCATAATATAAAGATACAATCATATTAATCCTCACATTCTTCATCATCAGAACAACTATCATTTGATTCCGAATTCTCATCAAACTCATCATAGACTTCATCTTTGACTTTAGAATAATCACCAGCTTCTTCTAGTTGTCGATTGTTCTGGTCAATAAGTATGATGCTTTCTACTATATGTTCTGGAACATGGATCTCTCCTTGTGTGTTTTGTAATGGTACTTCATCAGAGACTCCAACAATACGTCCTCTAGGTGAAATTTGAATGACAGATAACCATGATAACCCAGTTTGCCGAATCTTTGGATATGGAATGAAATTGACTTGTTGAGCTTGAGCGGCAAGGATGAAAGGTTCAAATCTTCGATACCTTCGAGATGCATTGACATCAACAACGCCGAGATTGTTTTTCCTCACACCGCGGCCGATAACAGGATCGTACCAATCACATTTGAATAATATGCATTTCAAATTAACCAACCCAGGATATTGTACTTCTATGATTTCCTGCAGCACTCCCTAACAACATGTTTCACCACTAACTTAAATACCAAAGTTTGTTGTTGTCCAATTCTGACCATGAGCTTTCACATGAAAAGCATATCCACAGGTGAAGTATAAGTGTGCAGTTGTAATCCGCGCGATAGGGCCTTGGATCAACTCGTAAAACCAAACAAGATATGTCTATGTCCCATAATGTACATGTAGAAGACAAAATGACTAATTAGACTAAAAATATATCACATAAAATAACTTAAAAAAAATATTCGACGATATATAGATAAGTTATTCAACATATTGTTTTAACCATCCTGCGAAGTCTTTGTCTTTTAGCTTCTCTATTTCTTTCTCAGATATATCGGAAAATGTTTCTTTCACTTGTGTTATGAAAATACTACAAACATAATACATAAGGAACTAGTTAGCAATGATACTATATATACATAATTTAAATTTTAATAAAATAAATTATTATATATGCATGCTAGTTTATTTTTGTACGAAAGAATACCTTTCAAATGGTTGAACGTATTCACAGTTGCGAAGAATATATGTGTGTGCACTTTGACGATCTTCATCATATAACCACCAAAACTTCTTTAAGTTGTCCACTAAGTCTTCCAATTTGTACGAATATATCAGGAATACCTGAAACAGGATATACAGGTGCCACGCCACCATCATCCTACCGTTTTGGGACCTTTATCCGAGTTTGAACTGCAAGGAAAAATGAGAAGTTTCTTCGATTAAACTCCCAGCAACAATCGAGCCTTCAACTCTCACAAGGTTTTTAGCTTTTCCTTTCAGATGTTTCATGAGTCTTTCGACATGGTACTGAAAGACCCCGATCCGGACTGCCTAAGTCCGGAAAGGTTCTCTCCAATCAAATCACTAAGTGATCCAATCCTTCGTCAAATTTTAGGGCCATTTCCTTAAGACAATTCATTTTACGATATTCTGAGATTCGTTACTTAGAGTCGATATGCAATATTATAATAAACAAAGAATCGGATACTTTATTAGATAATTAAAAGGATTCGATACAACTTATGAGTTTGCATATAAGCTATTACAAGTCATATAATCGATCCTATTCTACCCGATTCATCACCACCCATCTTTCCGGCCTTGAGTCTCTCACGCCTAAGCCAAGTCCTTCCTACTATCACCATCCTTTCCTAAAAGTCAAAGAGGCATAAGTATCCGTTTTACTTATTATATATGCAAGTCCATGCAATGCTCTCTAAGCCTTTTAACCACCCGGAACGAAGAACAGATCGGAGAGTGGAAGTATGCGATCAGTTCGGCCGATTCACGGTAGATCTTAACAGATCCGCCGATCCTCCGCCGAGCCGCATCCCCATTTCAACCGATCCACCATCCGAACCAAGTTTATGCACAATATGAATGATCCCCCGATACTACAATGTCACCCTAATCATTCCGGACTTCCTTCTAAGTCACCGGAACAATCCCTAGGCTAGATCATACGTATCATAACTCCTTAGGTTCGGACACAAGGTCTAGATCCATCTCACCTTTGATCACACCGATCGTAACTTTCTCTTAAGTGTTAAATATCTGTGAACATATCAAACCTATTATTAATGCTAGTCTAATTCGAGGAGTTTACATTCGAGAGGTGGAACTTCATGATATTAGGTTTAGTTAGTCAATTCATACGAGAGGTGGTTGGCTATACATTAGTGCTTTGAGTTCTAGAACGGTTCGTTAATAATCCTAATTAATTTGCTAGATCTACTATTTATTTATTTCCAGAGAAACCCTAAGCCTGATGTTTTCCTCATCTGAATTTACAACCGATTTTAATTGCTTTCTTGTCTTTTAATTTACTTAATTTCTTGTTTAGCTTAATTCGAAACCTGTTAGTCTATTGTGTAAACACGAGAGCTTTGTGGAATTCGACCCTAAAGTGCTACACACGATCTCTTATTTGAGAGAGCAGTCTTAGGTCTTAATTTGACTTACATCATTTTCTCTCGAGATGTTCTCTGAGAGTTTTTGTATTTCTCTCTATATTTCTCCGTGTCCGAATTCGCCCCGAACGCTTTGTATTTATAGAGTTTTGTTCAGAAACCGTTTCTCCAACCGTTCTCTAGAAGGCGCCCATTCGGTCCATACCCACCCGTTGGTAACCGTCATCCGTAACCGCCCAACCGTCCTTTTGTAACCGCCCAACCATCCAACCGTCGGACAGTTATCTGATCTTAGCTGAGCTACCCGGCAGCTGGTCGAGCTAGTTGAGCTACTCGACAGTTACCCAAGCTTAGCTGAGCTACCCGATAGTACTTCGAGCTTAGTTGAGCTACACGGGCTGATGGGCAGCTCCTATCTAGACTTGTCCGAGTTTCTCCTCCTTTTCTTGGACCAAGTCTCATATCGCGGGCATTACAAGTCTCCCCTCGCCCTTGAATGGGATTCGTCCCCGAATCCGACTCAAGTTGATCTTTACCCATCTCTTTAAACCACTTAGGAAAATCAGCCTTCATTTTATTCTCGGTTTCCCAAGTAGTTTCTTCGCGGCCACCGCAATTCCATAACACCTTTATCATGTTAATCCTTTTCCACCTTGTTCCCTTCTCCATTCGATCAACAATCCGAATTGGGTTTGCTTCCACCGTTAAGTTCTCTTTTAATTCTGAAGGAACATCTTCTACTCGCTCCTCGTGTTCACTTAGGCATTTCCTTAATTGTGAAACATGGAAAACCTTGTGAAACACATCTAACTTCGGCGGAAGTTTGAGTTTATACGCCACAGCCCCCACTCGTTCGATCACCTTGTATGGGCCAACATACCTCGGACTCAACTTTTTCCTTGTTTAGAATCGTCCTTTCCCTTTATATGTTACGGCCTTAAGATACACCAAGTCTCCTACTTGGAATTCTAACTCCTTACAACGCTTATCCGCATAGCTTTTCTGCCGGTCTTGGGCTTCCTTTAGTTTGATCTTTAGGAACTTCATCTTTTCGGTGGTTTCATCCATAATCTTTGGACCGAACAACATGCGTTCGCCCACCGGTGTCCAACATAGCGGTGTCCTACATGCTCGGCCGTACAACGCCTCGTAAGGTGACATGCCAATACTAGCTTGATAGCTATTGTTATAGGCAAACTCCACCAACCTTAAGTACTTCTCCCAATTCCCACCCCAATCCAAGACACATGCACGCAACATGTCCTCAAGGGTTTGAATCGTTCGTTCGGATTGCCCATCCGTTTGCGGGTGGTACGTCGTACTTAGGTTCACCCTCGTTCCTAAGGCTTTTTGAAAAGCCTTCCAAAAATGCGATGTGAACCATGTATCACGATCCGATACAATGCTTACCGGCACTCCATGTAATCGGACTATCTCGTCGATATATCTTGCGGCTATATCTTCGGCTCCATCCGTTTCGGAGATTGCTATGAAGTGTGCGGATTTAGTCTATCTATCCACCACTACCCAAACCGCATTATGCTTAGACTTTATCCCCGTAGGCAACCCGGTAACAAAGTCCATCGTAACATGGTCCCATTTCCATTCGGGCATAGGTAAGCTTTGTACTAACCCACTTGGTACTTGATGTTCAAATTATTCTCTTGCTCTTTCAATTTTACTTTTGCAAAACTGAAAAATAATATATATGGGACAATCGAAATTATAAATAGGAATTCTCAAAATATCCTCCAAAATTCTTTCAATTTTCAATATTCCATATAGGTTGAAAAAAATTGAAAAAATATCTATTTTATTACATGTGTAACAACAACTCTAGTTTCGATTGTTTTCTACTTTCGTTTCTCTTGGTGTTGGTATTGGTTTAACTATGGATTGCTATTGGTTTTTCCGGTTTTACTAGGTGATATCCGGCGTTCACAAGTTCTACAAGAAGGCTTACTGGATCCTTTTAAGATTAATTGGACATTTTTAAAGCATTGGTCCTTGCTTGTTCTTTACCTTGTTTTTCTTTTTGTCGATCCTTGGACTTGGTTCTTTGCTAGTCTTTGTCTCCTAAAGTTTGTTACTTGTGGGCTTGTGTTTTCTTTGTTTTCGCTTTAGCCTCTTGTGATATCTTCGTTTTCACCACTTTGTATTATGGTTCTAATGAAATTTCAGATGGAAAAATATAGAAAGAGTAACAACAACACATTAGCATAATAAGATTTGGAGTACATGTATTTATCAGTAGGTTGAAAAGGGAATCTGAGACCTGAGATGGTTAATGGTTCAATTGAGAGTTCTAAGAGCTTCAACATGAGGCTCTTCTTCTTGAATTGGTATGATTCTCATAAAACTTCCTTCTCCCACGTAATCTACCACTCCGTTTGCTGCCTCTAACCCCATCACGTACGCTTTCTCCTGTGAGCATGACCCATGTCGGTTTATGACTCCCAGAACATGTTAGGGACAGACGTTGAGCCTCGTATCATGTGCTTGTATGACCCAGGGAATAAATGCGGGAGGGATTGAGGGAATCTTTGTACATTTGCCTCCATTACAACTGCTTTCTTTAAATCTTTGACGCATTTTGACATGTTCTTGATGGCTTTATCTACTATCATTTCATCTGTTGTTCCTATTAGCTCGCTCGCGTTGTACTATTTTAACATTCAAACTGGTAAGTAAACTCTTCATCCACCATCATTCGCAAAAAAAAAAAAACTAAAACAAAAGAGAAAAGAGTTAACTAACACTTACGAAATTAGTTCTAACCACAGTCTGTTCTTCTTCCTTGTAGGCGTCGTAAATGGAGTTTAGGTCAAAGAAAGTCCATCCGTATGAGTCTTCCAAGACTGAACATGCGTTTGAAGCATGCAGAATAGCGACCTAGTGTGTGCTTCTGGATCAGATTCAAGCATATATATATTCATGAGGAACTTATTTACCAAACAACATACCTTTCTATCAAGCTTGAGCTTCACATAGACGACATCTACGGATCTCAGATTCAAGACTCTTAGGAACTCCTCTCGCTTACACAACGCTGCACTAAACAAGGCTAAACCCAAAGAATCAGTCTCACAACACAACAAACAGATGAAGGCATAGCTAGGTAGGACTTTAAAAACGTTTGACCTCTTCTTGATGATTTCTTGGATCGTGGAGATTCTTCCAGCTAAAAGACGGCATTAGCCTCGTACTTATCTCGGCCGCAGACGACTTGAGTGACATAACCAGAGTCGTCATCGCTGAGGATGAAGTCAGTCACAGACTTATCTCTGAGGAATCTGCACCCTCTTTCTTTCAAAGAGTCAGTCCAGGGATTGAAGATCATCTCCCTCACCGTCCCTCGGGACCACACCATGTCAAAGTCTTTTTGATGAGAGAGGATGAGATAATAGAAGAGCGCAAGCACAGCAGCCGTGTTGCACTGCTCAGGTGGAGCAAACAAACCCACCTGAAGCAATGGCCTTAGGATATTCCGGTACAGACTTTCTGAGCATCCAAACTGCTTAAACAATTCCCTTGCAGTCACTATGCAAATTAAAAAAAAACTTACATCATTATAGCTGAAGTTTAAAATGAAACAGAGTCATCACAACCGAAGCTTTCAAATGAAACAGAGGTAAAACCCTTTTTTTTGTTTCTGGAAGTATCGGTTTATATATTAAAATGGAGCAAATTACACAGATGTGATACTGCACATGAAGCAACATGGCTTAGGTTGAGCAATTACACTAAACTAAAACAAATCATAAGATAAGTGATAGAACTATTATTGAGCAATATGAGAGCTAGTAGAGGAAAGACTCATGGGTATGATTTGCAAGAGTTAGGACTCTGCATGCGCACCTGAATCATACTTCCTCCAAGCTGCATCCGTGTTATCATAATCGATAACTGCATAATGAAGAAGACTCCTGAGATTGGTTAGCTTGGCAAGATCAGTAAGATTAAGGAGAATTTATTCTTATTACAACCAGGCCCGGCCCGCCACCCATTTCTAAGAAACATGGGTATTGGGTCTCCATAAAATTTAAGCTTTTTAGTATCAAATTTAGGCCTCAAAAATATTTGTTATTGCAAATAATAGGCCTCATTTTTTTGAAATTTTCAGATTTAGTCTCAATTGTTAAATTTTATCTATTTGTTTTTGCAAAAATAGGCCCCAATTTCTTAAAATTTTAAGATTTGGTCTCAAATTTTAATTTCTTCTAAAAAAACCATAAAAAAAAAAATTGTTTTGTATTGGGCCTCTAAGTTCACAGGCCCGGTACTGATTACAACTTGCCTGCAGCCATTAGAGGAAGGGAAGATATCTTGTCTGCTAAGGAGAGCCGAGAAAACTGCGGAATTAACAATGGTAAGAAATGGGCTCATGAAGAATATTTGAGAGACATGGGAAATATTTGACTTACTTGAGAATAGTATAGAGTTCCTAGAGGAGTTGGCAGCTGAGGAAGCTCTTGAAATACAGGAAACTCAACCTTAAACACATAAACATTTTTATCCTTATAGGTTTCTTGCTTCATAAGAAACAAAGAGGAAATGGATGAATACATGTAAATCTTCTCCAAGGTACTGAGCAGATCTTGTCCAGGTTGTGAAGGGTTTGAGTCCAAGTTGATCAACCAAGGAAAATACGCTTCGATTCGGATACCAGAACCCTTATTGCACACATCATATGTATCAATCGTATGAACGTAAAAAATAAAAGGTTATTAAATGTGTACCTTGGATGCCAACATCATCAAGACCATGGCCCTCGTCAAGAAATGTGACATCAAAGCCCTAACAAAATCTCTTAAGTAAATACTAAATGAGCAAATGAAGTTGGAGATGAGAATAACAAAGTAAAAGTGACCTGGTTACAAAGATGATGAGCGGGCACCAAGACCAGCCCAGCTAGAACCCACGACAACAACCTTCTTCTTATTATTTGAGGCGGCTCCTCCATCGCCTTGGGCTCTGCTACATAGTTTTCTGGGACGCACGGGACCTAGTACTAGTATTGGATTCAGGATCCCACACCACAACATCTTTACTAGCTCACAATCTTTCTTCTTCGGTGTGTCCCTGTGTTTTTGAACTTGTGTATACGTAAATGATGTGTGTTGTAGTAATGCCACGGCCACAAACATAGACATCATAAACCAAATTTTGTATCTATTTTTTTTCCCTAAAATATTTTAGCATTCATTCTTCTAAATTATGCATATTTTCTCTAATACAGTATGCTTATTTTTCAATATTACTCATAGTTGAATAACACTTTTCTCACAAACAATAATAGAAAGAGAAAGATATGGACCACAAAATAAATGACATGCCAAAATCAAAATAAATATTATCCTCCCATTTGACATACTTATCACCAAATATCAAATTATCAAAGATTAAAAACAAAGATTGAAATTATTTAGGTAAGTACAAAAAAATGCCGATTTCTTTTGCTTCCACGCTTCTAATTGTGTATTGGACCCAAATTTATGTGTTTGACACAAGATAATCGTTAGTATAGGTCCATCTACCGTCCGCCGTTTCAATCTGACCGCTATCGTACAAGCCGTACAATATAGACTCAATCTAACGGTGGAAATAGAAAGATCATAAATCCCTCAAATCTAACAGTTACCTCAAGTTTTTTTTTTTTTTTTCTCTTCTCTGGTGGAGACGAACAACAACAGAAGAAAGAAATGGCAACCGCAGCTCTCTCCGCCGCCCGACCCAACCGCCTTAGCTCAGCCTCCTCCGATGTTCCTCTCCACCCGCTTTATCTCCCTACCAAGCTCCAATTTCCTTCCCGGAAGACTCAGCTGTGGCGCTCCGCCGCGATTCTCTTACCCACACGGCGGCGATGCGCTGCGCCTAGAGCTAGTTCTCGCGCCGACGATTCTCCGCCGTTTGATATGTCTGTGGAGACTGCGCTTAAGGTTCTCGGTGTCTCTGAAGGAGCTTCCTTCGACGAAATTCTTCGCGCCAAGAAATCGATCCTTGCTTCTCGTAAGGACGACCCCAACGCCATCTCTCAGGTGACTGTTTTCAATTTTCTAGGGTTTCTTTCACTCTCGAATCATTGTCCAATATTTCTCAATTTCAGCTTTCAGTATCAACAAATTCGCTAATTTCTAAATTTGGTTAGTTTTTTCCATTACTAGTATTGGAGTTTATCTTCGAATTCAGATGTATCTCTCTCCGATTTTAGTATTGCTAGGAACCATCACTAAAAACTCCATGAATCATGGAAATAGATAGTTTCTTGTTCTTGAGCCTCACTGTAATTTTGTCCCTTTCTCTCAGGCTGAGGCTGCATATGACATGCTACTGATGCAGAGCCTTAACCAACGCCGAGCAGGAAAAGTTGTAAGCAACAACATTCGCTACGCTGATGTTAAATCTAGTAACCCTTTGGGAACAAGTACTGTGTCTCAGTGGCTGAAGAATCCACCTGTCTCTGTTGATATGCCATCCACGAGCGATCTGGGAATACAAGCTGGAGTCTATGGAGCCATGATGGTTTTGACTTACGTGAACGGGAGTTCCTTAGAGTCTTCTGGGATGCCTTACGCTGGTGCTGATGTGCCCGGACTTATACTGGCTAGCAGCTTTGGAGCTTCCCTATACTTTATGACCAGAAAGAACGTCAAGCTAGGTAAATGATAACTTCCATCTTCTTCTGAGCTCACCACAAGCGGAAACCTCTGATGTTGTTATGTGTTTTGGTACAGGGAAAGCAGCTGCGTTAACAGCAGGAGGATTAGTGGCAGGTGCAGTGGTGGGATCAGCCATTGAGACCTGGCTGCATGTTGATGTGGTCCCGTTTCTGGGTCTCCACTCCCCAGCTGCAGTCGTTAGTGAATTCATAGTCTTCTCTCAGTTCTTGGTGTCTCTATGCTTGCGGTAGAACTTTGTACATTGGCTTCTGCAAATTTGGCTCAACCTGTCACGCTGGTATATGTACTCCGTTTATATGCGTTTTGTACAGAACAATCAAAGTAAACAACTCCTAGACATCAGTCGTCATGCTCATAATCTATTCCTTGGAAGTTTGAAGTTTCTGTTGCCTAAACCAAATCAAAGAACTAGCATGTGCAGGCTCACATACAATTAATCAGTACAGCTACCTACATATATAGACTAGTTACGGATTTTGGAAAAAATGTGGATCCCTTAAAATGGAATTAGGAGCCATGGGTAGTTTCTGTTGGCAAGGTAACCAGAGTGTTGTGTGGTGGCACCAGCCCCTCTAACTAACCAAAAGGCCCTCTGCACTTCTCACTTCCCTGCACTCCATTAACAACCTAGCTGTGTATTACATTCTCTTGTTGTATCCATTTGCACTCACTCTATGAATGGTTGTAAGTGTTTATTTCCCTGTGTCTTCTCTCTCCCTAGATATTATTACCAGACCAGACACATAAAGACCAATTACAGAGAAGTCGGAGCCAACGAAGCAACTGTCCCAGAATTATCATCCTGCCTTGTGGGTTTTAAAGAAAGATAAATGACGGAAACTTAGGTTGTTTTCCAATAATTATTGTTTCCTGACATTGAATTTTCCCACCATATATTGTATCATTTACAGTTTATAAAGATACGAAAAAGGTAGTGGTCTTTACGGGTTCGATTGACGTTGAAAATACCTAATTATTGGGCAAGTGAATCTGCTCAGGCGATCGGAAAGCATCATGTTTACCACTCCAGGAACGAAATTCGAAACAGGTTGAGAGGAAATTATCGAGTAAAAAGCTAACATGTGAAGCAACAAGTCATCTTACAGCAATTTCAGTGTTGATATTGACAACATATGATGATAAAGAAATGAGACTTCATCAATGCTCTGTAAAAGAGGTACAAAAAGCAACTAATAAGAGAGGGTCAGTTCAAACCGTACGATCCAACGATGTTGCTTACAGTTTGTGCAAAGGTTCTTGAGGTTATCTTTTTGCCAGGGACATGGAAAGGGTTTGAGACTGCATCAACGTAGGCAGCATGGAACTTCCTGAAGAACTGTAGAAAACACACAAAGAATGAAACTCTTGTTCACAGATTTGGTGCTAAGAAGAACTAACAAACACAAGTAGAAAAGAACCAACTGTTGCTTTGGTAAGGAACTATAGAACTAGTACGTGGATAGAGAAAGAGAATGAAATGTCAAAGAAAAACCCATAGTTTTGATGCCAAATTAAGTAGGATATGAGCAGGAGAAAGAAACTTACACTTCTCACATCGGTGTCTCTAACATCCAAATCAGTAGTGACCAATATAAATTTAACTTTGGTATTAGTCAAGTAACCATAGCTGCAGAATAAGAAGAAAACGCCATTAAAGGAGTATCCCCAACAACACAAAATCATCAAAGAGAGTGAAGGAATGTGCTTACACTTTGTAGTTCACAGTAGGATAGAGCAGGCCAAGAAAAGCCTCGTTCAGAGTTGTACCAGACTTTTTTGGATTGTTCACTGAATACAACAAAGACAAAACCACATTATCAGATAAAGAAATGCAGAGCAAAAAACAAAATCCTCAGAATTTGAAAGATTGGATTGGATAAAAGGACCTCGCTCTTCGATGACATCGAGAGAGCAATGAACAATGTGGTGGAGCTTGAGAGCATCGTCAGCATCCGTGAAGCTTTGTATGTAAAGCGGATTGTTCTGTTATTTGAATCCATGGGAAATTCAAGTCAGAAACTGTAAAAGACCCAATGAAATCAGATCACAACATAAATCGGAATGCAGACCTGGTGGCCGACGACGGCGACGCATACGATCATCTTCTCTCCTTCGCAGATCTCGAAATTGAAAAAGTTCCGACGATCACTTCAGATTCCGAAAACAGTCAAGAGTCATCTTTTTATGGGCTGGGCTTTATTATCAATAACTATTGGGCTTTTTTTTAAGTCATCGTACTACTACTACTAACTTTGATATTTTCCACCTGATCCCCGAATTCCTTATTTATTTACAAGGACATCCACTAATTTCTCAATTTATATAAGAAGTCCCCAACAAGACACAAGCATTTGGTATTATGTGAAGAAAATGCATCAAGTAGTCAAAAATGTAAGACATCTTGTGAAGAAGAATCATGGAGACTGATAATGTAAAAGCCCATTTCAATATTGGTAATTCTAAATTCAGACCTTATTATAAGAGATGATCAACACTATAATCTCAAATACCTCTTAACATAATATCTCATTCTCTTCCTATTAAGAAGCATTACATTCGAAATTACGAACAAACAAAAAACGAACGGAACCGATACAGATGGTGAAATCATAGACAGGACCCAAATGTGAAGTCTAGAGAGGAAAGAGTCATTGGCCGGTTTTGAGGATCTTCCTCTGCCTAAGGAATCTAGCGATTGGAGGAGTCAACGCCATCGTGATCGGAACTCTGATCGGAAACAGCGCCTTATTGCACAAAACCGCCAAAGCTAGGGCTCCGCCAGCCGATTTCGCAAGCTGTTTCGTCTTGTTATCGCTCGTACCCGAACCTTCCTCTTCAATCTTCAAATCGAGGCTAGGGTTAGGGTTTTCCTTGTTGGAGAACCAAGGGATTTGGTACTTCTCCAAGAGCGATTCGACATCCACGTTGTTCTTGATCGCGATGTAAAATCCACTAATTGAGACGCCGGAGACCGAGAAATGTACTCCAAGCGCGACTTTTCCGTACTTCTTCACAATCTCCTTAAGCCGAGTCGCCATCGAAATCGGAGATTTACAGAATCTTCCAGAAGCGAAAGCCGACGCACACCAGAAAATGATTTGTTTCAACTTAGGGTTTATCTTTGATTAAAACCTCTCTTGGGCCTATTTTGGCCCATTTTAAAGCCCGTTAGCATTTTTAGAAACAGTAGATGTCAACAATTGCGTCTATAAATTGATTACTAATTTGGAAAATAAGGTTGGTAAATTCGCTATGACGTTTTTTGGTCGTGTATGTTTATTTTTCTTAATAGTTTTGTCTTCATATTTTTCAAAGAAAGGTTGCCAGAATTGACTGAGTCAGTGTAAGTGGATAGAAGCACCCATCATCAATCAATTATACAAAATGACTCAGATTTAATATTTGTCGTGATTGTCATTGTCAGGTTATTAACTTACCTGACCACACCATGTAGTTTCTAGCATAATAATATAACAGTAGTTGTTGGCGACCTCTGTCTTCTCTTGATCTCCTCAGACGGCAGTTCATAACAAAACTCCTAATTTAAAATTTGTTAATTGGATTCCAGGTACTTTTTATATACACGCATGACTGACTATATCATACGTTGGAGTGTGACTGAACGTATTTTCCGGTTTACACGCAGGTTTGCATACCGATCCCGGGATGGATTTCTTCCATTCAAGAGAGAAGAGACATGGCAAAAGAGCAGGTCAGTTCTACTTGTTGTTATATGACGATGACAAATAGAAAACTTGTTTAGGTTAGATGGTGGCTAAATTGAACTGGTGTCTGCAGGATTGTTTGGTCACAAAAGTGCGAGCAAGAGCAACCCGTCCAGCCCTCCTCATCTTCCTGAGGCTCGGTCTCTGCCGACAACTCATTTCGGTATGAAAAGATCAGAATCAGAGCACGCGTTTCCCATCTCCGATGAACAAACCACTCACTGGAAACAACAGCGAGCCTCTGAACGCATTCCCAATTCCCACCAACGGCCTCCAGTCTACAGATATAGCACGGTACTCTCAACTCTTTGTGATAAGATTTAGAGTTTCTTTCACATCCCATGGTTTTGATTCTGTGTTCCAAACGCCAGCCCGAGCGTCCTAGAGAGCCTGATGAGGATGTGACCCCAAGGAGCAATGGTTCTGGAAGCCCTTTTCGATCTGCAAGAACCCGCACAGTAATCACTCACTTCTTTTTTTTTTTTTACAAGCTGCTGATTCAGAATTTGTAACAAAGCTTGGTCTGTGACTGCAGCCTGATCGCCGTAGGAGGTCTAGCGAGTTAAGCAAAGAGCTGTACGAGAGAATGTATGAGGCAGAGGCCAATGTGAGCCCATTTCACCCCTCTAGAAGCCGTTCTCCAGCTCCCTACAACACCGTACTAATCCTCCTCAATTTTGGTTTACATACTTGTCATTTAGTCTTTGTCCTCGACCAAAAACCAAATCTCTTGTGATCGCAGCATGACCGTGGAAGAGACTACAGTAGAGAAAGATATGAAGCTAAGGGCAATGTAACTTCGCGGAACAGCGCTCCTTCGAGCCCATTTCATCCATCCAGAAGCCGCTCTCCACCGCAACACGCAAGGGTTGGTGGATTCAATCATTCTCTGATTTGACACCTCTGTTAATCACTCATTCTCTGATTTTTCTCTACTTAGTTGCAGACTCAGAGATACAACAACGGAAAAGATCATTTCGAGGGGATGTACGAGGCAGATGCCGATATCACACCGCGTAACAGCCCTCCCATGAGTCCTATTCATCACACCACGAGCTACTCTCCACCACCGCCATTCTACTCATCCAGCGACGACGAAGACGACAACAATTCCACCTATCTTTTTCCAGAAATTGCAACAGGACGTCGTTCCAGGGGAGTCTCAGGGAGCAGCACGGTTCGTTCTTTCTCTCTAATTACCAAAGTGTGAAGAAATGCTTACATCCAAAATGCTTTCGTTTGTGCAGCCGGTTCACTACAAGTATCAGATCACATCGGTAGAGACTTACGAGCAAGACAGGCAATTCGAGCCGCCGGAGCTGCCGGACGAGTCTGAGAGCTTCACGATGCACGAGATCGCCAAAATGCGCGGACTCCAAAGCTACGACAAGGAAGAGATACAGTTGGCGATCTCCGAGACTTACGTCTCCGTCGCCAATTACAAGGTGCGGATGAGCGTCGCCGCCACGCTCGAGGCGATTATTGACAAACACGGTGACATCGCCGCCTCGTCGAAGTTGCAATCTACCTCAACGAGGTCGTTTTATCTCGAATCCCTAGCCGCAGCAGTGATGGAACTGAAATCAACGGCGTTGAGAGATCTGACGAAGACGCGGGTGGCGGAGATCGCAGCGGTCGTGAAAGACATGGATTCGGTGAAAATCGACGTATCATGGCTGAAAACAGCCGTCACGGAGCTAGCGGAGGCGGTGGAGTACTACGGGAAGTACGACACGGCGAAAATCGTGAGAGAGGAGTGCGATAGGGAAATGACGGAGGGGAAAGAAGAGATGGAGGAGCTAAGGGAGGAGCTGCGGCGGAGAGAGAAGGAAACGAAGGAATGTAGAGAGAGAGTGACGGCGATGGCGGGACGATTGGGGCAGCTGGAGATGAAGGAAGTGAGAGTGAAGAAGAATCTGGAGCTGTTTGAGAGCAAGGTCCTTAAATTCGATGGTCATTCTGTTCTTGTTGACTGAACCGACCTCTTTCAATTTCATCGCAATTTAATTAAACCGGTTTAGTGGAGTAAACCAACCAATGAATCCAAGAAAAATGCCTATCCGAAGCATAGGAGGATTGTCAATTACCTTTGCCACAAATCAATCTGAGGAGTCTTTGTTGCAAAAGAGGTTCATGCTCATTGTAATCCTCCTCCTAGGCGATTTTATCTATCTAAACGTTGTCCACGTGTGATAGTTGAATTGGTAAGCATAAAATCATCCCAACAATAATATTTTATGATTCAATAAAATTGTGATTTTGACTCTGAAAACCATTTTGTGGTCCTCCTTCGACCGCTTTTATTGAAAAACAGTTTCGTAAGAGAACTAGGGAAGGTCACTTTTACTACTGCTTTGATTTCAGTACATTACCTTGGTTTGGTTTTGCAAGTGTTAAAAACCCTTTTTTGTATTTGGGCTGACAAAAGAAACTGGGCCTTTAAATGGACATCTGTTGTCTTTTCTTTCTACCGCATTTAATTAGGAAAACGTTCAACAAAAGCAAAATTACGTGCGTGATTTAGTAGTTAGTTATGTTGGATCTATTGTAAAAAAATGATTTCAAAAAATTTAACTTTGGGTCTAACAAGAAAAAATGGGCCATGAGTATAAGAGGGCAATTATATGAAGCTGGTAAGTAGTGTAAAATATGTGAAGCCACATAAGAACGTTAACAAATTGGAAAGCGACGTGATGTGCTATAGATGTGGATTTGCAAAATACTATGCCTACTCGCTATTTATCTAAATCAACGAAATCACATGAGGATTAGTCCGCATTTTTCTTTATTACATAACACTAGGTGAGTACCCGCACTACGTGCGGGCTTTCACTTTATATTTCATAATCTCTACAATAATTATTTGAGAAGTAGAAACGCACCATATTGAAAGTTAGGGCATTGGAGGCCTGTGGTTAAAAGTTAGAATGATTTGTCCTAAACACCCTTAATGAATTGTTCTTCTCGAAATTTCTCCTTCTTCGTAATTAGGGGTATATAAGTCTAATCGTGTGTTGATCTCTATAATAATGTCCTAAACACCCTTAATTCGAAATTTTTTGTTCGTAATTGTTAAGGGTATATAAGTCTAATCGTGTTTTGTGATGATTAGTCTTAATCACCCTTAAATTTTTTTATTTTATAGTGTAATCGTTGGGGATACAGATGTCATAATGTCTCGACTTTAACGATTATGGAATCTTAGCTTAAATTTATTTGTTAATTTTTTGGATAATTCTATATCTTAGTAGTTAATATTCGTTTTTGTTAGTTTTCTGATTTAGTTTCTAATTAAAAAAGTTAAATTTCTTAAGATAATATCGGAGGTTTGCCCTAATCTTAAAGCTATATATATTGTTGATCGGCCAGAGAATTAGGTATTATTTTTTCTGTGCCCATTAGATAGTTTTCACTGTTATGGTTTTTTTATACATCTACGATTCTGATGAATCAAATTGTTTGCCATGCAAATATTGTTTTTATTCACCTTTAGACGTCATGTGCATATTGTTTGTGTTGTTTGTTTTATTTTTGCATTAGTTCGTTAATTTATTGTTTTGCTGATTTGGTTTTTTTGGTGTGTGTTTCAGTTTTGTATAACGTGGGAGGTTCTATCGACAAAGCTCTCCGACGAAGGTGGTGTTGACGAGCAAAGAACGAGGTTTGGAAAGGTACTTCTATAGATTTGGTTTGTATATTTTACATATATTTACCTATTTTAATGTTTGTGTTTCTTTGTGTTATATTATATATTTTTATATGCGATTTTATTGCGTATTAGTTGTCCCTGCATTCATAATTTTTTTCAGCATATATTTTTGATTTTTATTATGTTTTTTTACCTCTCAGGTTACAATGAGATGTGGGCATACGATCATCAAAGCGTGTTTGTTTCATCGTACCAAAAGTCAGTCTCTAATCTAAACTATATTTTGTATTTTATCATGAATTTACATGCTTTCTTTTTGACTGCTAGAAACCCTAACGTATATTTACTTTCTAAAACACAGAAATCTGTTTTGAAGCTCACGAAAAACAGAGGTTGCTCGCTCTAATGTCATTATCGTGCAAGTTATCGTCTCTGGTGGCTCTCTAAATCGACATCGATGTCGAGATTGCAAAGGTATGTCTATCGTGATAAAATTGTAAAATAGAGAGTTTCTTATGACTTTATCGTGCTGATTTGGTGTTTTTTTGACTAGATCTTCGATTTGGATATATGTTCGTTTATGCTAATTTTTTGTTTTGATTTGGCAAATTTAGATCTGCTTCGATTGCAGTACGAAGGATCCGACTTGGGTATATAGGTGTTTTACCTGGAGGAAAGGTAATTCCGACGAATAGACAGACAAGAAGAGCACTGAGTAATATAAACAAGAACATCATCGGAGCTCCTGTTTATCCTTCTGCTGTCAACAAGAGACCATTCACCAAGTAATTACTTATTACCTTCTTCTTTGAATGATCATTTATTTGTAAAGTTGTATACACTTATCTTACGAACCAATTGTTTTCTCAGGAAGAATGGGATATGTAACAAGAAGATTCCACTCCATTGCATCGTCCGGTTACTAGGTCGGTAAATTTCAATTGATTTCTGCTTCAATGTCACAATTGTATTATGAGTTTGGTTAGGAGCTCTAATTCTTGATTTAACTTCAGGAAATTTGCTGCTCAGTTAGCTGAGAACAATCCCCAAATCTACAAGGAGGTAACTTTATATTGACACAAATTGAATTTGGTAATTAAAAACATGACATGGTTTAGGTTGTCTATTCTCAAGTGTTTTTTTTTTGTGGTTAGGAAACCAAGAAACCAGAGTTGATTTCGAACGAAACATTAGATAGAATCATAACAGATGTGGAAGAAGGAGACTTTAATGAACCAATGTTTGTTCAACACACTGAAGCCATGCTTGAAGAGATTGACCGAATGGTAAGGTTAACAATTTAAGCCACTCTTTTTTTTTGTTGGTTACTCGGATGAAGATATATGTTGTCTTTTATCTGCAGGAAGGAATTGAAATGGAAGATTCAAATGATATTGATGTTGAAGTAGAAGAGTCTGTGATGGATATAGACAGCTGTGACAAGAACAATCCTCTAGCTGTAGTTGAATACATTGATGACATAAATTGCTTCTACAAGAAAAATATTGGTTACATATGGGATTTTCATGTTCTTGCAAGCATTGGATCAGATTCTAAAGGTAAAAATCATTTATGCTTTTTCTATTTCTTTTTTTTTCCGTGGGAGTTAATAGAGAGAGAGAAGAAGAAGAGCATTGAGGATTTTAATGTAGAAAGAAATTTGTAGAAGACATCTTTCAAGAGAAATGATAGGATGTGTTTGGGTGTTTATGAGCATGTTTGACTTCAGACATGGTGGATCTAACCAGATGCTTTTGATGGATAAGAAACGTGGAAGCAAAAGAATCATAGGTTTTTCTTCTTTTCTCTTTTGGGTATTGGAATGTGTCTGAACCAAAAAAGATTCTCACGTTGTTGGTTTGATGAAACAATTCAGGTAATAATGGAATGTTTGAGACTAAGGTTGAGAAGCAGCTTACTTGTGATTGTGAGGTCTTTGTTAAGTTTTTGTTGGATTTAAGAATCAAACTTGCTTTTGTTGTGTAAAATGGTTTTGTGAGAAATGAAAAACTAAAGTAGATTGTTTTGTCTCAGGAAAGTGAAGCTGAAATGCAGAGTGTCAAGATACTAAGATGAGATTGATGAGAAGTCTAAGAAAGGTAAGAGGTGTTTCTGTATTCAGCATTTTATATAAGACTATGATGTTTGTTATGTATTGTCTAATCAAAAACCAGTTTTCAAACAACTTTACAATTGCTCAGTTTCATTACGATGGGATAGCAAGTGAGTGGAATGACGAGTTTGAGTGGAGCTAAATTTGATTCAATCTGAATGTAAGGTTGTGGCGGAGACGTTTTCAGATTTCAAATATATATAGAACTAATTCTGTTTTTGGTGAATCAGGTTAATGTTCTTAAACCAAACCACAAATCAAAGAGATATTATCGAGGTGAGCCAAGAAGGCAAAGTAAGGGAATTGTCATGGATAATGTTAACTCTAGATTAAAGGTGTCTTCCCGTCAGATTTTTCTCTCCCTAAACACTGTGAATATCAAATTAGACTAGATAATCACAATACATCTCTTCTTTTTCTCCTTTGTATTCTGGATACTAATTCCTCAGGTTCAAGGAAAAGCCGAACGCATTATCACAACCCTTAAATTCGAAAAAGAAGAAGGAGACATCGCTCAACAAGGAAAAGATACTAACTCTTCAACTAAAGGAAGAGTTAGCAGAGATAGACACACGAAATACAGAGTTGTACAAGGTAACAATATTATTACATTCATGAATCTCTCTTGCATTTGATCTACCAGAACTAAAAAGCCAACAGAACACAATCATGCTATTGGTCTTTTGCAAATTTGTTCAGATTGGATGTGGTGAAGAAGGAGAACACATTTGCATGGCTTATAAAAAGAACCAGTGGGTCTCATCTCTCCAATCATGTTGAGGAGTAATCAACGACGGTGGATTGAGGCGTACACGGCGGTGGCACTACCAGAGAGGTTAACTGTTAAATTTTCTAAATTCTACTCTTTTAATCTCTCAATCAAATTATCAGTAGTGGCTACATGTAATGGAGACTTAAAACGAAGGATTCAAAAGGTAAAGATTGTCCGATACATTAATGCTTTTGTTTATATCCATGGCTGGGGTCTTTGGATATTCTTAACTCTTTTTCTTTTGTTAGTTTGCAGATTCCTGGTGTGCCGATTATGTATGTGATGACTTACGGCTATCCTGAATTCTAGAAGCTTTGGTAACAAGATCTGTGGGATAACAATTATAGAAGGGAAAGTCATGCTAATAACGTGCTGCTCTCTTTTCTTTTGGTGAGTTTCTTCAACATTTTTTTGATTTTAATTTGAAAGATGTGAGAGGTAGGTGATGTAGGTTATAGGTTTGATTTCCCCAGACGAATCCCATATCTCAGGTTTTGATTTTATCAATGTGGAAAAAGTGATAGTAATTATTTCTCATTCTTTATAGCAATTCACTTTGGTAAGCAAAAGCAAAGTGAAGCATCTGAGTATTCCACCACAAGTGACATTGTAGATTGTCTGGATTCTTCTACTGATCACTATTACTCTCCATAGATTTTGGAGACATCTATATACAAAGATTTAAGAATGATTAGATGCTTTTGCTTAAAAGGATCTGATTCGGTTTCTCATACTCTGTCTCAGCTTCTCAGCTTTCTTAATATCTCAACAAGAGGATATGAAAAGTGTTACTTTGTTAATTTCTCTTTTTTTGCTCTCGCCTCTCTTTCTTAGTTTTTGTCTAACAGAAGGAAGCGAGCCATGAATCAAGCTTTTTCTCCTTGATTGTTTTCCGTTTTCTGATGAGACTTTGTTTTGTTCATGGGTTTCAGATTATACTTGTGAGCAGATGCAACAGGTGGCAGAGATGGTGAGAATAAGATAGCTCGAATGAGAGTCTTGGAGATGACAATGTTCAGCATAATCATCACATGAAGAGCTTACCATCGGTCCGTACCCCAGGCATACGTCGTCTTTGAAGGTTCTAGAACATTCTAACTATAAAAAGATAACTAGGATATTTATTTTAGAATCTGTCAATGATGAAATTTTATTAGTGACTTTGATCCCTTTGATTTCGTTATATTTGGAATTGGAAGTTTAATCGTATATCACCATTTGAATCAATTAAGATATTCCCACAATTATGTTTTCCAGATGACGGTAAGAAAAGTTTAAACTTTCGTACTGATCTTTAAACTTCTTTTGTGGCCTTTGTTGTTAATTTTGGTACCTTCTTCAAATCCAATTCTGTTTTTTTCTATGACCCTTCGATCACATATGATTGTTGGCTTTTGTAGAAACTAATTGTTCCTGTTGACCTTTGGAAACCAATCAGAGACAGACAATTTGTCAATATTTTATCTTCCATTGTGGTTTTTGATCTCTGTTTGTTGTTGTAGACAAGGGAATCACCACTAACTCAAGGATCGATAACACATCTATATGATCTTTTGGTGAATGGTAACAGTCTCCAAATTCTCTAACACATTCTCCAAAACCATTTTCAATATCAATATCATAATCTTTGTTTCTTGTGGTTTTTGATCTTTGTTTGTTATTGTAGAGGTGAAAATACATTTGCTTCTAAGTATTCAAAAGAAACAACAATTCTCCTATTGGATCTGATTTTTACTATATATAAATCACACATCTGTTTGCTATTGCTGAGAATATTCACACATGTGTTTCTTAGGAGATTTGGACATATAGATAAGATTAGAGATGTATGAGCTTTTTCCTTGATTGAGTTTGAATCTCTTTGGATTAAAACCGGAAAATTTATCTATAAAATTATGACAGTATGAGTTTTGGAACTTAGGAAGAGTAATGAGCTCCCATATATCAATGTTTATTCTCTAGATACTCTTTAACAGTTGTTTTGGGTCTTTAAAAAGTATATACTTGCTATGATTTGTGCAGGTAGCTCGGAATCTTGGAAAAAGTCTGCGTACATTTCATCCAACGATTAGAGAGCAGACTTTTGTTTTTTTTATCTCAAGACTTTAAGAAAAAAATGAGGTTAGTTTGTATATTGGCCAACTATTTTTGATTGTTTGGAAAAACTTTGCGTACATATCAGCTAACGATTAGAGAGCACAGGTTTGTTTTTTTTATCTTAACACTTTGAGCATGGTGGTAGCAGTCTCTGCCTTTTGGATTGCTCTTTTGGCTGCAGTTATTTCGCGAAGCAGTACATGGTTGGTGAGTAATGAGTCTGTCATTTTCATTTTTGCTTATTACTATTCTCAATTAGCCCATATGAATAATGTATTTCTTTGCACCAGCTACCGATATACTTTGTAGTGTCCCTGGGATGCTATAGTCTATTAATAGTTTGAATTAGTCTAATGCAGTTCCTACTTGTCCTACAGATGCATTCTCTTGCAGCATGTACTTTCTTTACCCTTTTCTTAAGAGCAGTTCTCTTGCAGCATGTACTTAACCTTTTTCTTTCGTTGATAACCTTAATTACAAAAAAAAGAGAGTAAAATTGATGGTTTTCTGCAGGCTCGTGAAAAAGCTCTTGATAAACATAGAATTATTTGCTGATGATGAGTTTGGCTATAACCAGGATAGAAACAAAAGAGCAAAAATTGACGGTTTTCTGCATTCTATTGAAAGATAACTTAATAATCATAGAAATCGTTTGCTGATTGATGAGTTTGGGATATAACAATGATAACGAAAAAAAATGAGCAAAATTGACGATTTTCTACAGACTCATGAAAAAACTCTTGATAAACGTAAAAATCATTAGATGATGATGAGTTTGGCTATAACCATGATAACAAAAAAAGAAGAACAAAATTGACGTTTTTCTCCAGGCTCATGAAAAATCACATGATAAACGTAGAAATTATTTGCTTATGATGAGTTAGGCTATAACCATGATAACAAAAAAAAAAGAAATTGACGGTTTTCTGCCGTCAGAAGAGCGAGCTCTCGATAAACGTAGAAATCATTTGCTGATTGATGATTTTGGGTATATAACCATTATAACGAAAAAATGAGCAAAACTTAAAGTTTTCTACAGCCTGATAGAAGAGTTGTTGATTAACATAGAAATCATTTGCTGATTGATGAGTTTGGCTATCGCCACGATAACAAAAAAAGTTGAGTAAAATTGACGGTTTTCTACTGTTTAGTGAAAAAGCTCTTGATAAACATAAAAATTATTTGCTGATTGTTGAGTTATAACAATGATAATGAAAAAAAAGAAAAATAGACAGTTTTTCTGCAGCCTAATGAAAGAGCTCTTGATAAATGTAGAAATCATTTGCTGATTAATTTGTTTGGATATAACAATAATAACAAAAAAATGAGCAAAATTGACGGTTTTGGTAGCCTGATGAAGGTGTTTCCTGATAAACGTAGAAATCATTTGTTGATTGATGAGTTTGGCTATAACCATGATAATTATAAAAAGAGGAGCAAAATCGATGGTTTTCTGCAACCTAATAAAGAGCTCTTGGTAAATGCAAAAATTATTTATTGATTTATTAGTTTGGATATAACAAAACTAAAGAGCAAAAATTGACGGTTTTCTGCATTCTGATGAAAGAGAACTTGATAAACATAGAAATCATTTGCTGATTGATGAGTTTAGGATATAACAATGATAACGAAAAAAAAAAAGAAGCAAAGTTGACGATTTTCTACAGACTCATGAAAAAACTCTTGATAAACGTAAAAATCATTAGATGATGATGAGTTTGGCTATAACCATGATAACAAAAAAAGAAGAACAAAATTGACGTTTTTCTCCAGGCTCATGAAAAATCACATGATAAACGTAGAAATTATTTGCTTATGATGAGTTAGGCTATAACCATGATAACAAAAAAAAAAGAAATTGACGGTTTGCTGCCGTCAGAAGAACGAGCTCTCGATAAACGTAGAAATCATTTGCTGATTGATGATTTTGGGTATATAACCATTATAACGAAAAAATGAGCAAAACTTAAAGTTTTCTACAGCCTGATAGAAGAGTTGTTGATTAACATAGAAATCATTTGCTGATTGATGAGTTTGGCTATCGCCACGATAACAAAAAAAGTTGAGTAAAATTGACGGTTTTCTACTGTTTAGTGAAAAAGCTCTTGATAAACATAAAAATTATTTGCTGATTGTTGAGTTATAACAATGATAACGAAAAAAAAGAAAAATAGACAGTTTTTCTGGAGCCTAATGAAA